CTCCTTTCTCAGTCAATCACTGTAATTCTGTTAGCCAATCAGTGCTATCTTTTGTAGCATCTCTTCTTTGTTTTAGCCCATTCTTGAATTGTCTCATTCATTCTTTGATGCAACTCGTTTACATGAATGTTCTGTCGTCTAATATATTTTACTTTTGCGTGGTTCATGGGAACCACTGCTAAAAGGTATTTTTGATGCATATTATTTTACTGTTACGACTGCAGTAAATGAAAAAAGTTCACACACTGTTGACCAAATTAATATTGAAATGAATAATTGTAGACATATTTTGATAGCAATTAATGTCATTGCTGTATGCGATAAAGTATGTGCATGTGAAAAACTCTCTTACCATACCTTAAACCATGTCTTTGGGTGTATGAAAGGAAAGATATTGCCGCCAGATTTCAGTATGCAAATACGCTCAAGCTTGGTACATCAATTCGTGGTGCTTAGTGAAGTCAACAGTCAAAATATTAAATGCATTAAGTACAGTATTTTGTTGTCATACACATGAATATTACACGGATCCAATTGTTAGTTACAGTGTAATTGTTTGTTAGTTTACAAATTAGGTGAGAGTCGAGAGTGATTTCCACCTAAAACATGAACAACATGTTTCGATCACAGTCATTACGAGTGCTTAAAATGACTGTCAGTCATGGGGCTTATGCGAAATCTCTAGGTGTGTTTGTAGTAGTAATGATGTATGTGATATGTTCCAAACTTTGGTCTGGCCACTTAATAGGGATTGCAGAAATAGAAACTTTGACTTGGTTCAGAACCCAAATGTGCTTGTATGCAAATAAATCGTTGTAAAAGTTATGTTTTATAGAACAAGAACCTTGTATACCATATATAGTATGTAAAACATTCAAACACATACTTCCTTGGAATATTTGCACACATCAAGCGACACTAGCTGATACCATAACTGTATTAGTTTACAGGAATTGTGTTTCATTGTCGACCACGAGCAAACAAACCCAGAAAAGTGCTTTCAATAGATCAAGTGGCTTACTTGAGAACTGAATAAAGCATCCCTTCAAAACAAATAATAGCAAAGCATAAGTTGTTACCACATAGAATTTACACTCCCAATTGAACAACTGCTTACCAATTTAAATAAACAACTGGATGGGCCATACAAATTGCGTTTCCTAAGACAAACTGGTGCAATCATGGGAATTCAGCTTACCATAGTGTTACTTGTGTTTCCAGTCTGGTGCTTACAATACCTTAATTTTTAGTCAATCATTTTCAAAACTTTTGTTCTTAGAAAGTTTGTGAATTTGATATGTAATTGGGCCACTTCAGAGGCAATTTATGATGCAAAGCAAATTAGAAATTCATCATGCATATGACTAATATTTTCCAAGTATTTAGCATTTTTTGCAAAATTTGTTACTATAACACTAGTTGGATTTTTAAATTTTAGCCATTTCATAACGATTGGCTATGAGCACCTGTTAATTCAGATTTCAACTGAATTAAATACACTTGCTATATTTTTGAGTTATTGTTCTATTAATGACGACTCGTGTGTGGTGTTTCCATATCAAATGCTTCTAGGCATTCCAGTGGTAGAATACATTGTGTAGATTGCATTCAAATTTCCTTTCACTACCAGCTCCCTCTTTTCATCTCAATTCAACAAAATAGAAGATTGGGACAAAATTAGTGTTCAATTCCAGGTATATTGAAGAATGTAAGAAAAAAGTGCAGACCAATTTGGTCGAGAAAGTCTGGTTGTTAAAGGTTAAAGTTTTCTTCAGTGTTCCATAGGATCGAGTAATACCTGTGAGATTGTTCATTTTTAGTTCATTATAAAGAGCCATCACTGAAATGCCTGGTCACAAAGTTGAAGATCAGTGAAAACACTTTGCAGTTACTGTTTATAAATCTTTGCCAGGCACATTGACACATGTGGTCTAAATATAGCTGCAGTTGTCAGCAGTGGATAAATGGGGTGTACCATTATGAATCTCAGTGGAAACTGTATAGGGGGCTCAGGGCTATTGATGGGAATTATAGTGGTGATACTGCAACAAAGTAACCCAGGTCCTGGTAATATACAAAGACCTGAATTAACAAAGCTAAGTCAAATTGTTATTAAAGGTGCAACAAGGTTTACTCAGATTTATGAATGCAGTTTCTTGAGCAAGTATACATGTATGAGACATAGTTTGGTTGCACTTGTGTACTCTGAGATTTTAGACATGGGTCGATGAAGGTTTTCAGTACAATACTAGATTAAGGGAAATCACTTTATGATTTGTACCCACATAGAGTACATAATAATTCACCTGTTTGCAGATGTTCCATGTATTATTTTAACATGAGTATTTTATAATTGAATGACGGTGACATTCATGTCTTGTGTTACTTTATATTTGACCAGACTGCCCTGATGGGAAATATGGAGCTGGTTGTACTCAGACATGTCACTGTACCCAAGGATGTAATAAATCAGATGACGATCTACTTGTGTCTGGAGAATGTACTACAAGTGGAGATACTTGTGATGATGGATGGGGTGGTGAAAACTGTAGAGGTATGGTGATGTCTTCACATATACACATCAATACAAAAACAACTGTCACCTGCATTCACATGTTTATTGTGTATTCTGATCTTTTCTTTTTGAATGCAAACAGTAAACATAATATGTTTAGCATTGCAAATATACAAATATCTTTATATTTTGCAAAGCTCTTTGTGTTTGGTCTTATAGTTTGGCTGCCATCTTTGGCTTCTTCTAAAGAGGAAGTGTTTTTTAATGATGCCACATTTACCCGAATATTTTTGAAATTTGCTAAGTCAGTTTTCGTTCAAATTTGGTACATAGATTATACATGTTAGTATACATGTCCTTCGACCATCCATGCGTCTGACTGGAGTCATATTTCAGAATCCTTTGGACCAATTTTGATCATTCTTTGCATGTGCCGAGTACTTTATGTGAGACATAGGCATACACTGTGGTTTAGCGATTTGAGTCAAAATGGCCGACTGGCAGCCATCTTGTTTTAGCTATGCTGTCGACTTTGTCGAGCGGAGCTTATCATATGAGTGATTGTCCGTCGCCGGCGTCCGTCGTCGTCCGTGTCAATGTCTTACTTTTTCGACTTCTTCTTGAAAACTACTAGCCTGAATGCTTTGATACTTGGTGTATATGTACCTTGGGTAGACCTCTCTCAGATTTGTTCATTTCATGATATCTTCAATTCTCTAATTTTGGTGAATATTTTTGTCATTTTTGGTAAAAAGTGGTATTTTCGACTTGTTAAAACCGCAAGTCCAATTGCTTTTATATTACATATATAAGTACAATGTACTACATGTGGACCTCTCTCAGATTTGTTCATTTTGTAATGATATCTTTAATTCTCTAATTTTGGTGAATATTTTTGTCATTTTTGGTAAAAAGTGATATTTTCGACTTCTTGTTAAAAACCGCAAGTCTAATTGCTTTTATATTACATATATAGGTACTACATGTGAACCTCTCTCAGATTTGTTCATTTTGTGATGATAACTTTAATTCCCTAATTTTGGTGAATATTTTTGTCATTTTTGGTAAAAAGTGATATTTTCGACTTATTGTTAAAAACCGCAAGCCCAATTGCCTTTATATTACATATATAGGTACTACATGTGGACCTCTCTCAGATTTGTTCATTTTGTGATGATAACTTTAATTCTCTAATTTTGATGAATATTTTTGTAATTTTTGGTAAAAAGTTATATTTTCGACTTCTTGTTAAAAACCACAAGTCCAATTGCTTTGATATTACTGTAAAATCTGTATTAGAAGCTGCGGCTTCTGTTAAAATGGTACAATGCAACAGAGGGTATGTGGCTTCAATTAGAGCATCTACACATATGAGAAAATGATGATTGTTTGGTACTCAATTGCTCAAAAAGAATGGGTGCGACTTATATTAGAGATGCGGCTTCTAATACAGATTTTACGGTACGTATATAGGTACTACATGTGAACCACTCTCAAATCTGTTCATTTCATGATGATATTTTCAGTTCTCTAATTTGTATGAATTTTTTTGGCATTTTTGGTAAAAAGTGATATTTTCAACTTCTTGTTGAAAACCACAAGTTCGATTGCTTCTATATTACATATATAGGTACTACATGTGGACTACTTTCAGATTTGTTAATTTTGTGGTGATATCTTCATTTATCTAATTTTATGATTATTTTTGAATTCTTGTTAAAAACAGCAAGTCCCATTGCTTTGATACATGTACTATACATATTGTTCATTTTCTAATGATATCTTCTGTTCTTTAATTGCAATATGCATTGCTAACAGCGGAGCTATCTCAGCCGACAGGCTGCTTGTTGATGAAACTTAGTGCATAGATGCTCTGGGCCAATGAGCAGATATGATAAGGTTTTGGTAGAAATCTGTGCATATTAATTACCTAATTTGCATGATAATTAGCTAATTTTTAGCTGTTCCATGACTGTTCCACTGATATCTAAAGAGCCATGCAACAATTTGGATTTTGATGAAACTTAGTTCATAAATGCTCCAAACTAATGCCAGATTTTAATCAGTTTTGGGTGAAAATCTGTGCATATTAATTACCCAATTTGCATAATGATTATTACATTTTCAACCTCGCCACTGATATCTCGACTACTAATCATCACATTTCAATGAAACTTCATCCCTAGATGTCATAAGACACTACACAGACCTTATAGTTTTTAGGGTAATATCAGTACATATTAATTACCTAATTTGCATGATTAATTAATTTTTCAACTTGGTATTTATAAGTAGTTTTAGCATTAAATTTCAATGAAACATGGTACATAGATACTCAAGGACTATGCAGAGATCGATTGTTTTGGGATAAATATTTGTGCATATTAATCACCTCACCTTCGGCTCTGGCATTATCAATATCATGGTCATGACCACTATCACTTGGGCAGGCAACAAATCGTGATGTTACACTCACAAACATGTGTTATTATTTAATTGGCACATACTTTATACATATTAGGATACATGACTATCCATGACAATTTGTTTCAAAATCGGATCAAGGATGGCCGATTGACAGCCATCTGACTTTTTGGCCTTACTACTATATTTCCAAGATTTATGTACCATTTTCATTCGTATTTGGCACATACATCATACATGTTAGGATACATGACTATCCATGACAATTTGTTTCATAATCAGATCAAAGATGGCAATTGGCAATGGCAATGATGGCAATGATTCGGCAATTACATGTCTCATTGCATTTTGTCACAGCGAGCAAGCGTCTTTCGCATATTTGAGATTGCTTTTCGCCTCTCAGATATGATTATTGAGAAAAGGACGTTTTACACTAATAAACTGATGAACTCTCCCTGCAATTTTATGATGTAGATGGACAAGTGTAATTCACTGATAGATTACCATTGTTTGACACCCCCTATCATGTGAATTTAAATTAGAGGCATGACAAACGTTAAATTGTATTAAACACAATATTTTGAACTGGTATTTATTAAAACTGCAAATTTGAGAACAATGCCTTCACCATATTATTCAACACACGAGGGCGCTTGAGGGTCTATTAACCACTTTAGTCTAGAACTAACAATACAATTACAAATATGTTATACAATAACATTGTAAGCCCCATGTAAAGATTTATTGTGGGGCACCATGGCAACAAGCATTCATGTTCATGAGATATATGGTAATGTAATTTTAGTGCCAAATTCTGATCATCAGACTTGCAATTTCTCAAACATACCTTAAACAATGTTTTTTTTTTTAAATGTTTTTTGTGCCAGCCCACAGTTTCGGACATTGAGTGTCACTGTTGTCTCTCCTGACTTATTTTTTTGTATGTGCAAATTGCAAGTGCTAGTGACGACACAAAGTGCATTTTGCCACAGAAGTCATATCAATGTTTGGGACTACATGACAGGGCTGTGTGGCCATTTCTTTGTCAAATGCCAATTTGTAATGTGCTATCCTGGCGTCAACCAGGCCCTGTCGAACACAAGCACCTGCGGACCTTAACCAAGGTTCCCCAAAGTTTGCATTCGTTAGTGAATGAATCTCGGCCAGTGGAAATGGCCTTCCCATTGAGTCTGTGGCACACTCACCCAGGGTAGGTGTCGACCTTTTTGACATTCAGCCTATGATGATTTGAACTTGGGTCTACTGATCATGAGTCTGATGCAACAACCACTATGCTACCAGTTACCTTAAACAATTTTAGCAAGTGCAATAACATAGACACGCACCTCAATTTGTTTTACTTTCACATGTGATCTATGTTTTTGACTCCTGTGTGCGAAGCACAAAAAGGGAGTCTTTGCAGTTAGTGTGTCTGTATGTGTGTGGGTGTGTGTGTGCGCGTGTGTGTGTGTGTGTGTGTGTGTGTGTGTATGTGTGTCCGTCTGTTCCACTGATATCTCATGAACCATGCATCAGTTTTTGATGAAACTTGGTGCATAGATGCTCTGGGCCAATGCGCAGATTTGATTAGGTTTTGGTAAAAAGCCATGCATATTAATTACCTAATTTGCATGATAATTAGCTGATTTTTAGCTGTTCCACTGATATCTAAAGAACCACTCATTGGATTTTGATGAAACTTGGCACACAGATGCTCCAAACTAATGCGCAGATTTGATTAGTTTTGGGTAAAAATCTGTGCAATATTAATTACCTAATTTGCATAATGATTAATCAATTTTCGGCTTTTCCACTGATATCTCAAGTACTAATCATCACATTTCAATAAAACTTGGTACATAGATGTCATAGGACACTGCACAAACCTGATAGTTTTTAGGGTAATATCAGTAGATATTAATTACCTTATTAGCATAATTAATTAATTTCAGCTTTTGATATTTCAAGTAGTAATTGTCACATTTCAATGAAACTTGGTACATAGATGTCATAGGACACTGCACAAA